AAGACTAAAGGTCAGTTTTATATTATTGGATATGGTAACATGAGTGCAGATGTGCCACATCATTGTAACATTTGTATTGTTTGCCAGGCTCGGCTGAAAGGTCAATATAATAAAAATAATAACTGTATATAAATGTATAATTTTATGAGATTTAAGCTATTTAGTGTAAACATTTATGTTTTTTATGTTATAATTTGTTGTCATTCTAGAATGAAAGAGGCATAATTCATATATATATTTCCTAATTTTTTATGGTGGTTACCCATGCTTTTCTTTTTCTTTTCACATGTTACCTATCTAACATGCAAAGTAATTTTCATTTTAAGATTAAAAATACTTTTATGCATCAGAAAATTTTCAGATTTCACAAGTGAAATCTTTATAATGTCCAAATAGTTATTAAATGTTTCTTAAGAAAAACTTTGTAGTTTATCTGTTATTTTCAGTAACGAATCTCTGTACGGGTTCAGTAGATTTGACCAATCTCAGAAAAACATTGCTCAACAAACAATAAGACTTAATAAAAAAATTGATATTTTGCATATGAAATCATTGTAATCTTTACTGATAATGTACCAGAGTTCATTAACATTCGCTTACTAATTTAAAAGTTATAGCATGAAAACTATAACAAGCACGAATTGTTTACGAGGTCGGGTCCCAGGGACCGAGCCCATGCTGAAAGAGTTAATAAACTTTAGCAGCTTTGGTGAGCAACTTATCCTGAAAAAAAGGATCTTAGTATAGTAGTGAATAAATTACTAAGCCATCAAGGCAGTTCTTTGTCACTAGTAGCAGAGCTAATATAATTTTATGATGTACTTACAGCCATCTTGATTACACATCAAAAAAAAGAAGATAATTTATTGGTTTTATACAAATCACTAGTTAGGTCTCAGAAAACTATGTATAGTTTATGTCTTATCTAAGAAAAAATACCGACTTATTGAAAAGGGTTCAGAGGATGGCTACATGAATAATTCTGGGAATGAAAGGTTGTTCTACAGAAATTGGTTAAGATATCTTCTTTTGTGAAAAGAAGGATAAAAAGGTGATTTTATTGATGTTTGTGAGATAATCAGGGAGATGATTAGAACAAAGATGTCTAATATCTTTGAGCTGAATTCTAAGAACAACCGAAAAAAAATAATACAAGCTAATGATTTTGGAAGAGACATGATAGGCTTCAGTTAAGAGTTTTAATTTTCTAAAAGGATGACTAGCTTATGGAACGAGTTGTCATTGACAAGAGTGGATGCTAACACTTCATACGAGTTTAAGAGGTGAACAGATGAAATCCTGAAAATAAGAGTGGGTTTAAATTTTACATTTCATTTACTTTGAGATACTTGTGCAGGAACAGCCTTGAAGGACTAAATGGGCTCTTGATGTCTGCATGCTATACTTAAAAAAATGCAAATCATTACCTAAGCTGAAGTGACTAAACAAACCTTAGAACTCTACCAATACTTCCCATTTACCAGCTTCTAAATTGAACTCTGTAATGACTAGTAACTCCAAAGAATGTATTAAATAACAAGAAACCATCTCATAAGTCATGACATTTCCTATTATGCTTCACTGAAGCCTCTTTACCCATGCACCTGTTCTTTTATGTATAAAAAAAAATTAGTGTAAAATAAAGAAATAATAAGGGGTAACAACTATGAAACCTTACATTAAGAAGTAAATAAATTTCTAAGGAATAATGAGGTTTGTAGAAAGAAAAACAAATTTTGATTAAGATTCCAATAGCTAAGGTCAAAAAGGACTAAAAATTTAATAGTTCTAAATAACTAAATCAGACAAAAAAAGGTTGTACTTTTGTAATGGTAGTAAATAAGTGTACAATTGGGAATTACACAGCTTTTTTAAAAACATTACTGATGACAGACCCATAGCTTCTGTAATAAGTACACGTATAAAAAAAAAATGTCCTTTTCTCGAAGATTTATTTACAGATAGAGAGGATCAGGCCTTTTATGATACTCATAGTAAATGCAAGAGAGAAGTCAATATAGTTCACCAAGGTTATCCTTCTAATTATGAAACCAAACAACCAAAGAACGAAAACGAAACTATATTTAGCACCTTCAACAAAATTTATAAATATTAAGGTTAAAACTGCAAAACCATAGTTTTAAGTATGTGGGCACATACCTATACCTCACAGTAAAAATTATTTTAAATTTATTGTTAAACAACTTGGCTGACTTTGTGCGATAACTAATTTTATGACATATAATAATGTTGCATATTCAAATAATTATTACATCCCAGGGCATTAAATTAACACCAGCAAATTTCTGGTTAATGTTGAGTTTTGCTAGTAAAGCTTAGAAACAAATTGCTACCACACATTTCAAAAGAACGATTCATAGAATCTTTTTGTTGAGTATTAATACCCCATGATCCATGTATTTCAGTCATTCATATTACGAGATTCTGAATACAAAAGGTTACTATAATTATAATTAACAATTGAATAGAGTTGTTTAAACATTTGTTTAACAACAAGTAAAAGCTTGGAATGGTCTATTCTTTCATTGGGGGCGTCAGTGACCCTGGACACTACCACCAATGAAATATGAGACCAAACCAAGCCTTTATAGTAGTAAGGTATCAAAAATCGAAATGGTACATCTAAGTGTCTTACATTCACAAAAAAAGAAACCTATCATTCTACAGGTATTTGAAGAACTTGTAGATGTTTTTCTCCATATTCATTTTACTTTGTTCATGATTAACAAAAATATTAGGCATTTTCCCTTGTAATTCTTCACCAGCTTTAAGCATTTAAGCCATAATGTTTAATAATAAAACACTAAGTATAGGATAGC